ATCCTAAATCACTAATTAATCTAAAAATATATAAGATTAAATCCTAAATGCAAATGCAATTCGAATTTTTGTATTTTTTATGAATTTGTGTTAAATTAAAACTGCAAATAAACACGAAAATTATGCAATTAATTCCTACAAATTAAACAATAAAAATAAAAAATCTTAAATCTAAGAAATCTGTAGGAGTAATTCATGCGAGGCAAAAATCACATGCTCACAGCTGGACAAAATAGTAAAACAAAGTGAAGCTTTGAAATTATATAATTACATTGAATACAGTTAAATACAGTGAATATATTGAAAAAGTAGAAAAAACTAAAGACAGTGAATACAATGAAATACATGGAATACATCGATATCCAGGCCATCGCCATGTGGGGCGTCACCGCCGATACCGGCGTCCTTTGGGTCGTCCAAGTAGTGAATCTCTCATTTCTGCTTTGAAAATTTTGAGATCTGCACTTGTATTTCTCCAGATCTTTGTTTCTCTTTTATCTTTTTTTCCCCAGATCTTTGTTCTCCTTACCACAACTCTTTAGAGCAAAAAAAGTTAAAAATCGAGAGAGATAATGGAGATGAATCAGTGGAGAATCGTGGATAGAGAGAATGGGGAAGAGAATGGTGCTGTGATTGAGAGAAAATGGAGAGAGAGATCGTGGGGAGAGAAGTTTACCTCCTATACGGTAATTTTAATTTGTGAGAGAAAAAAAAAGAGAGAAAAATAATACACAGCGTATTTAATGGCTTAAAGGTAGGAAGTGGCCATACATAGATATTTTGCTAAAAAAATTAAAAGGTAGCTATTGCAAATAATTTTTTAAAAGAGTATTTATTTATAATAAATAAGGTGTCAACATTCGCTATAGCAGGTAAAATTTCCTACAAGAAACCCCATAGATTTAATTCAGCCCAAGATAGGGCCGCTGGTAGACACATTTGTTAACTTAAGGCTCTTCTTCATTACCATTTTCAATAGTTGGACTTGGCACAAGTACAAATATTCCGAAATAGAAAATAAGATGAAACAAGGAAGTTGTCAAAGAGACTTATAGTTTATTAGAATCATACGATTTTGGTCCCAAAAAAGGTCCATAATGGAAAAAAAAAAGGCCTATAGAGATTAGTTGGAGTCTTTATAGTTTGTTTAGAAATTTTAATCTCAATAGAATCCGCATAGTTTCTATAATCCAGAAGCACAAAATGAGATTAATGCTTCAAATGCACAGTTTTTTGGCGGTGTGTTAAAAGAAGCTACGACACTTTTGGAAAGGAGAATCGGACTAGGTTGTAACTGTTATAGAAGACGTATAACCGTTGAGTAATAAAAATATAAAGTAATAGATTGTTTACCTCGAAATACGAGTAACAATTAAACTTGTTTGTAGTTTTAAAGATACGTGATTTAATTCAATACTAATTGATAACCAAGAAATCAAACGTATAAATTAAAGATGTAAGTTGAATCAAACCAGTACTTAAACAAGTCTTGACCTCAAGCTGTGATGGCCTCGAGGTTGGTCAACAAGAACAGTATAGTAAAGGCAACAAAGTTAAGAGACAATTCTGATGAGTAAGAACAAGAAAGTAAGAGAGTATATTCTTTTGCCAATGATTCATGGTGGTTACAAATAATTGGGATCCCCTTTATATAGTAGGGGAACCCTAAATAAGGTACATTTCTAATTTTAGCAAGGAATCTTATTGGGACAGCTGTCTAACCGCCTAGTACAAATTCGTACAAATCTGTTCCGGAATTTACATCGGATCTTGGGGATGTTGCGGGAATCTTGCTCTTTCTATTACAAACTCATAACAGCATCACCTCGGGGTTGGTCACACTCGGCTTCGGTGCTCATCGCGTACTTCGATCTTCGAACCTTGTACTTTGTCATCGGCCTCGAACTTGGTCCATCGGGGTTAAACTCGACCTATCCTGAATTCGGGCTTGAAGCGACTCTTCGACCCCGTGAAATCGGGCATACCTGATTTCGACCGTATACATAGTCCCCGCGTTTCTTAGAGTAAGATGATAATAAACGATTTGATCCTCGATCCTCCGATCCCTCGATCATGATGTCAATCTCGTGACGTCAGCGACTGAAGTGATGAAAGGTCGCGTCTGCATAGTTCCCAAGGCCATTAATTGAAGGCGGCTAATGGTCGGCCATTGGCTTCCCTAAACCGTTAAAACGGCCATTATAAATAGGTCAATTTTACAACTTTTACAATCTTTACCTCTCAAATCTTTCTCAAAACCTCACTAGCTTCTTCATCTTTCCTGAGTTTATCCTTTCTTCAACTTGTTCTTGCTACAACATCAACTTCTTCTCTTATTTTGAATTTCTCAACAGTAATGGCCAAAACATCTAAAACCGCTCCTCAGAAAGAAAAAGCCTCCTCATCATCACGTCCGACCGGGGGTAGAACGACAGTGCCACCTCATATCGAGGAGTGCATTCCCGGGCCATGCGAGCTATCTTCCGATTTCAAAATCGATAAGCCGACGTCGGTTCCAAGCCGATGCGAGCCTATGTCTCGATGCTTCTGCTTGATAACTGAAGATGAACTTGAGCAGGTGAAAGAGGATTGTAATTGAGAGGATAAAGATGTCGTGATTCCTTCCCCTGAAGAGGACATCACCACTCATGTGAAAGGGTACTTGAGCGTGTATACTTATCCTTTCACATTGGGTCCCGTAGACCCAGCACTGGGTCCCGTAGACCCAGTCATTCTCGATTTCTGTCATCAATATCGGGTGACGTTTGTCCAGATCTACCCTTCTTTTTGGCACATCGTCAATTTCCTTAGGTACTTCTCGGGCAAGGTCGAGGGGATGCCTTTTACCCTCGACCACCTGATCAGGCTATACAACCCTCGCCTTTATCGAGGCAGTCTAATAAAGCTCCAGCGTTGATCCACGAAGGCGCTATTCTCTAGCATCGATGAGGACAAGGACCGAGGGTGGATGAGCCGGTTTGTCCGAATCAAGACTTCCGATTTAATTCCTGCTGAAAGGATGCCATTCCCCGAGGAATGGAACATGAAACGCAAGTACATCCCTAATGATGATACTTGCTTATCTGCTTTTCCTGTTCTTCCTCGATCTGGTTCCTTTTTGATGGTGTAGCCTCCCCTTGGTTTCCTGGTGCGATTCCGAACCTCGCAGGTTGGGTCCGACAACTGGCCTCCACTTCTTCACACACAGAACGCTGTTAGCGTGATTTGGCCAAGGGTCGGCGGGAAGCAAAAAGCGATAGTGAGTTCCCTTGCTCATATGTCGATGTTTTTCCTGTAAAATACTTTCTCCTTACGCAGACCTCAGAGATACTGTTGCTATGAGGCCTCCCCCGCCCGGTGAGGAGGAAATTCCTAAGCCAACCAAGGAGAAGAAAAGGAAAAGGGCTTCGCCAGCAGTTCCCCCTAAGCCCAAGAAAAATAAGGCTCGAAAGCCTAGGGCCGACCCTGTAGCCCGATCTGCAGAGGCGGTTCAACACCTTCGGGGTGATGAGGAAGAGGGAGAGGATGATGACTGTCTGCTGGTAGCTCGGAAGAGGGGGAGCACCGAAGCTTTGAAAGCCGCTGAACCGGTGGTGGCTGATGCGGTTCAATCTCGAATCAAAGAAATCTCGGAGAGGAGCTCGAGCAGAGTCCCCGAGCCATGGGGCGGCAATAGAGCACCTCGTCTTGGAGGACATTCGGCGGATGAGCCCGAGGGGCCTAATTCCGGGGCCCTTCAAAAAGAAGATAATGTTCCAAGTGAATCACTTGGGATTATTAACGTAGATGAATCACAGCCTGGACCTGTGTTCTCTGAAGGGAAATTTCGAGATGTCCATGCCATGAAGACTCCCGACAAGGGGACGACCCACGAAGGGAATGATATTTTCTGGGAGTGCTTTGCTGGGGTCTAAGATGGTCCCGACCCGGATGCTTCGTTTATCTTCGATGAGGCTCAGCGGCTCCTCAAACAAGTAAGTTTCTACCTCTATAGTTATGCTCGAGTTTTATTCTCGTTTTTCTAATTCCGGCTCCTTTTCTTTATGTGAAGGTCGTGGTACTTCATCGACAAGCATTTTCCAAATCTCGAGCCGAGCTTGCCCGATGCGAGGCCGAACTCAAGAAGCTGGTGGAAGAGAGGGACAACCTTAAACGCCTCTATGTACAGAAAGAGGAGGAGGTCAGGGATCTCCGAGTTGAACTGGCGAAGGCTCATCAAGAACAGATTGAGCTCATTGAACACGTAATGTAACCTTTGGGGGTCTTCCATGTGCTCATTTGATTTAGCGATTAACACTTCAACTTTACAGGCCAAGCAGATAGGCGAGGTAGTGGAGCAGCTTCGAGAAGAGCTCAAGGTGAAAGAGGCTGAGACCTTGGGGTGGAAGCAACATATGGATCGTCTCGCCTCGGAAAAATATACGCTTCGGGCCCAGCTGACTTCGATTGAACGCCAGCTTCAAAATGAAAAGGGGGAAAGCCTGGCCCGGAGCCAAAAGATTGAGGAGCTCGAGGCTAAATCGGCCGTCGAGATTGCGAAGGTCAAATCTGAGGCAGAGGCGTTTGTGGCCTCTTATCGAGCTGACGCCGAGGCTGCTAACATTCGGGCACAGGAAATCTCCATTGCCGCCGAAGTCAAATTATCATGTGCTCTCGATCACGCCAGGAAACAATCCCGGAGAGAAACTCTCGAGGAAGTGCATGCTCGTGGCTTTGACCTCTCACCTGATATTAAAAAGGCAAAAATTTTGGATGACGAGGCTGCCGCTTTACTCTATGATGATGAAGATTCTACTAGTGGTTCCGAGAGATGAGGATATGAGGATGAAGTCCCCGAGGACGAGGTTCCCGAAGATATGGCTCCCAAAGATGCGTTTCCCGAGGATGCGGCTCCCAAAGTATATTAGGCTCTTAGGATTTTATTTTTTATTTTTCTGTAAGGCCCCTTGTGGGCACTGTTGATACCCAATTTTTCCTTCATATATTTCAAAAATGCATATATACCTTCAAAATAGTGCATGAGTATCACCAAGTATTTTTCCATAATTTTCTATAACTTTCTATAATTTTTAAAGGCTTTTAATTAATTAATTCCTGCATTTTTATATAAATAATTATTAATTGCATCACGAATAATTTTATAATGATTCATTATTTAATTTTTCATCATTTTTATCCATATTAAGCTTTTAATATTTTTATATATACTTATTCTGCATCCTTAGGCTAAAATTGCATATTTTGCAATAATAGCCCATATATATGCATAATTATATTATATACACAAAAAATAACTTTTTATATTTTTATAATGTTAAGTAATTATTTTAAATCATTTTTATGCACAAGTGATTTTTTTTATTTATTGATTATTTTTATAAATTATTTACTGATTTCATTGAGTATTTAAAAGGCTGAATACATATGGAGACACTTAAAGTTGGCACGATTTTTTATTTAGACACCTGAACTTAGAGGTGTTCCTAATGAGCACGTATATTACATGAACTTTGTTCCAATTAGGCACTTCTTGCTGAGTTGGCACATAGAGTGAGCTTCACCCAATATAGGCGCGTGAAGAGTCCAAAAACAGATTTTTTTTCTTTCTTTTGTGTCTTCTTTATTTCCTTCTTCTTCTTTATGTCCACCACCATTTCCACCATTGCCTCCTCCCCTTTCTGAGAGCAAGCACTCATCACCTCTAAATCGGCGTAATGTACTCCTTACCGACAAACAATTTGATTTATTGAATGACCTGAAGTCGATTGCCGAGTTAGGTCCGAAGTTTGACCGAGTAAATAGAATCTTCTGGAGAGATTCATCAAGAACACTCTAAAATTAACCTCAGATCTTTATCTGATCTCCAATCTCCACCAGCCACCATTAACGTCTTTTTCACCATAGTCAACCATCACTAGTTTTGACCCGCTACACCATAAGCACAAACCAACTTCCTGCTTGCTGGAATTATAAAGTTAATGTTATTAAAGAGAGGATGATTTGAATGGAGATTCAGTTGACGCAGACGACTTCTATTTGACACCACAGAAACAAACTATTCATGGTTTAAGTTAAAGAGGAACTTTAATTTCTCATTCTTGCAAAACATTCACTTAGATAAAGAAAAGTCACACAGAGTCGAATTAGGAGAGAAATGGGAGGAGGAGGGGACGCCATAGCTACTGGACTTGGTGAAAGAAGATATTGATGGGCGGGATAGGGAGATCATCTGCGGCTTCTGATACAAGAGGTATTTTGGGCAAGAAGACCATAAGGGTTTTTTAACTTTCCTTTTGTTCGCTAAATAAGTTTTTCTAATTAGTTTTGACTGAAAGGGAACGTGGCAGATTTTCATTTGTTACTTTGTCCACGCCATCGCGTGTGAATCTGACGTACTATGATCCTTTTACTGTTTAGTTGCAAAGTGTTTAATTGGCGCATATTGTATGTTCTTTGAGTGTTCAATAGGAACAAACCTTAGTTTGAGTGTCTAACTGAAAACTGGTGACAACTTTAAGGGGCTGCGTATGTATTTGGCCTATTTAAAATCTAGCCTTTTTTTAACATTAAATTCGGACCTAGAATTACCTAAGCCAACCCAATTTCCCCAGCCCAATCACCTAACACCTGACCCAACACCTTAACCCAAAACCCACTAGCCCAGTCCCCATACCCGTTTCTATACCCGACCCACTCTCCCTTAAATCCTGGCCGTTGATCTTCAAGATCAACGACCCTCGTTTATTCCCCTATTTTAAGTTAACCACCCCAACCCTAATCCCTTCATTCCCTAAACTCCGCCGCCCCTAAATGCTCTCTCTTCTTCTTCTCTTCTATGGAAACCCTAGCGCCGTCACCTGTTACCCCCTTTGATTCCAACCCAAATATGGAATCCATTAACGATCTTCTTACCTTACTCATCCTATCTCGCTACTGGCTACCCATTTATAGTGTTACATAATTGCTTGCTTACATGGCAAGCAGATCTCTCCTATTGTGAACCAAATCTGGTTCAAATCTTTGACCTCTTTCCATCCGTGTTCATTCTCATTTCTTCATGGAATGAATCTATGAGATTCTTCGCGATTTTCTGCTTACCCTAAAAAATTAGGGTTCAGATCTTTCTAGATCTAATCTAATTCTTGATTCTTTAATTATTTTTCCTTTAATCTTTTCGTCTATATGTCTCTGTGCATCTTATTATAACTCTCTTCATTAATTTCTAACTAATTTTTACTTACCCTAAAATTAGCGATTTTTTATTTTGCGAAATCAAACCAAATCTGTTTGATTCTTTAATTATTGTGTTAAAATCTCTGTCTATATGCCTATATGCATCTCTTTGCTTGTTATTACTGCCGATTTTGTATATTTTACCTAAAACTAGGGTTTGAGACTTTTACTCTTTCCTTTTTTGCATGATACTGATATTTTCCTTATTTCGTTCAATCTACCGTGTTTTCTTTATTCCTTTACCTTATTTTGCCTTGAAACTGATTGTTAATTGATTCCATATTATATTTTCCTTATTCTAAGTGTTACTCTCCTGATTACACGCTATTATGCTCTGTTAACTTACTGAACTCTCTTCAATTGATTCTGGATTTATTTTCTTTCCTTATTTGTGTATGTTTGATTTATTCCCTTATTCGTCTGTCTAATTGAACACTATTTAAACCCTTTCTCCCCTTCCCTTTTGGACAAGGACTCAAACTCTCACACTCTTACAAAAAACTTAGTTCTTTTACTCTGATTCTGTGCTCATTGTTTCTGTTCTTGGCCGGCTGAAAGCCAAGGCCAAGTGATTCTGGAACTTAACTGCTGTAGCATATCTACTTATTTTCTTGCTTAACTGGTAAGCCCTGAACCCTTATCGTTTATTTCTCTATGATTTTCGTAATCAGTGTTACTTGAACAGCATGTCTTGAACCTTACTTTTAGCATGCTTCTACTTTTATGCTCCTATGACCCTCTTATGGTTAATACTGTTAGTTTGTAAGTTAGCTTAATGTTCAATTTGTCTGGCACACTGCTTGTTAATCCTGTACCTGTTTTGAACCTTGCATTCTTAGGATACTACAAGCATGTAATTAGTTAATGTGTCCTAATTTGTTGCTTAACTCATGTGCCCTGTCTGTTAATATGCCATGTGATGATCTGACTGCTTTGCCTAAGTTATTAATCAATGGTTGTCTTAAATGTCAGCATGCTCCCTTAGTGTAATTAAGTCTCTCTTCTGAATTAACCTATTTGAAACCAGGTACATTGCAAACTTTGCTGTTTTCTGAATGCGATTCTGTGTTCTAAACCCTGTTTCTTCTGAAATCAAACTGTTTGAAATCTGCCCCTACTCCTCTTATATGCTGATTTTTAAAACCTCACTCTTAGTCCCTTAGGTTCTCAACCACCCCAGTGTGAGCACTGCTCAGGGTCCACATGAGACTCTTGTGAACTCTGACACACTGGGAACTGGTTACCTATCTCTTGTGAATCATATTCTGAATACATGGTTCTGGTGTGAGCATTGCCCTGGGTCCTAAGGCCCTTGGGAACTTTGACACACTGGAAACTTGGTTCTATATGTGCTATGAGTGGATCACTCAGGTTTTGGCTATGCTGTACCTATGAATTGAGCCTTGAAGTTGATTGGTTTGAAGGCCTGGTTCCCAGGTTTATTTCGGCCTAATGAAGGCTACCTATAGTGTATCTTATTATTATTATGTAATTTATTCATTATTCTGGCCTGTAATAAGTTTGTAACAAACAGATTTTGGGGTATATAGTAAAATTGGGAATGGTCTTTATTCTCTTTGGGGCAATCCGGGTAGAGATCTTGCCAATAGGGTTTCATTTGCTCTGTTAATCCTGTTTTACCTCATCTCTACTGAAATTGTGTGAGTGATGTACTATGCTTGCATATTAGAAATCTTGCCTATAGGAAATTAAATTGCATTAGAGATCCTGCCTATAGGAAATTAATTGCATTAGAAATCCTGCCTATAGGTTGTATTAACTTGTCCAATAAACGTATGTTAGCAATCATACCTATAGGACCTCAATGTTGATCTAACTGTTTCTGGCAATGTGCACCATTTCTGCCCGTATTATTGTTCGACAGATACCATGTCTATAGGATTAAAACTGGTTTCAAATCTAGAAATCACGCCTATAGGATTTAAATCAATTCAATAATAGATACCATACCTGTAGGATTAAAAATCAGTTCAGTGATAGAAATCGTGCCTATAGGACTCCACTAAATGATTCTGAATACTATCATCACTATCGACATAGGACTAAAACCATTTTGGATTCGTAAATGTGATTTACTGTTGTTCATTACTGCATGAAACACACAGATGTTGTACTAAATAAAATTAGTAGGCAAAACAATAGGACCTAATACCTGCCTTAATGAAGCTGCTTCTATATAACACTCCTCGCCTTTTTTCTCACATAGATATCCTGCTATAAGATTTTGCAAATTAATAAAACCTGCTAATTAATTGCGTGCATTTAGTATTTATATGTGGAGGTCAACATGAGCCTATATTTGCTTTATACTTGCAAGTCCTAACATGTTTTGTTTGTCGCCTAGTCTTTTGCATTTTGAGAAACCTAAGCTGAGTCTAGAACCATCCCAAAATAGAGGTCCCAATGCCTCCAGGACCATAGGTAAGGGACGGGTAGTGCACGCATAAGGTACGAGTTAGAATTGATTAGAGCGCTTTAGGTAACAACTTAAAGATAGTAATCGGGTAGCAGGAGATGATAGTCTGTGCCCGCTGAATAATATGAGTAACACCCCAACTCG